CCCGATGGCCTGTTCCTCCGGACCGTGGCTCCACTCTCCCCTCCCAGGCAGGTCAATGCTCAGTCACCTATCTGTTCTACTATTGCCTTCATCTCTCTGTCTCTTCCTTCAGTACCAAAATCACCACCGACCAGCCCAGGAGTGACCCAGCCTAGGCCCAGCTCTCCATCTCCTCGCCTCCTGCTGTTGGTCAAACACCCAGCTACTACTCATCGACAGGACTACGCACTATTTCCTTCTGTGTATTGTTACTCTCATCATCACTGTACATAATAAAATCACTGCTTGCATCGAAGTCGGCTACCTGGGTCCGCCTCTTTCTCGTTCGCTCACTGACAGGTGCGAAAGGCTCATAACAGATTGACTCTCAATTACTATATTCTGTCTGGTTTTAGGTACTTTGGAATTTGTCTCTCAATCCATGTGGTGTCTGTTCTTATGGTGTCTTGTTGCTGCTCTCTATTGCTGCTGGAACACAGGAATTTCCCCATTGTGGGATCAATAAGGTCCTGCCTACCTACCCATTCTTATAAATATTTATTATATTGCTGCATTTGCTGCTTAAAGTGGCTTAGATTTTATGTTACTTATTTATCTACTTTATATTTCATTTGTATTTCTGTGGCATTCATGTGGACGGCAAAGTAAGAATTTCATTGTACAGGAAAACACGTTTCCTAACTGTGCAAATGACAAATAAACACTGACTTGATCAACCAGTGACTGTGTATTTGTTGTTGTCTGATAGATTACACAATGGGTTGGTTAGTGTTCTAAACATATGCCAGAGAAAATAAACAGCCAATGGACCCAACCCTGCAGGTCATTTTCACTCAGGTCCAGTTCTCTCAGATGGGAGGGGTTGGACTTCAGAGCTGAGGCCAGAGAAGCACAGCTGGTCTCTGACAACCTGCAGCTCCTCAGTCTGAATAAAGAATAAACCATGTGACATTAGAAGATCAAGTTCCTGCCTGAAACCATTCAGTGCTCCATCATCTGTTCAGAGCTGAAGAAGGTTTAGAAAACAGAAGTTCACAAAGTGGTAACTCCAAACAGCTGAACCCAACAGGACGCAGGTTAAAACCAGTCAGATACCAGAAGTGACACTGAGCTCTCATTAATATTAATGACAACATGCTGCTGCTTCGGTAAAGGACAAATCAGGACAAACAGTAAATAGTATTATCAAAGTGTTGGAGCCATCAGACAGTGACTGTGTATTTGTTATTGTCTGATAGATTACACAGTGGATTGGTTGTTGTTCTAAACATACAGTATGTCCAAAAAAATAAATTGCTAAATGACCAAACCACAGAAGAAGAAAACAGCTTCCCATGAAGCTCCTCAGTGTAGATCAGTAGAATATCAGCCTTATGTCTGCAGTTCGGTGCCAGCACAACTTTCACATCAGATTAATTTTAGCACAAAACTAAAACATGGTGTCTGACCTCAGAGTCTCCAGTCGACAGTCTGGACTCTCCAGAAAACCACACAGCTGCTTCAGTCCTGGATCCTGCAGCTTGTTCCAGTTCAGGTCCAGCTCTCTCAGATGGGAGGGGTTGGACTTCAGAGCTGAGGCCAGAGAAGCACAGCTGGTCTCTGACAACCTGCACCACCCCAGTCTGAATAAAGAATAAAGCATGTAGATGAAGTCATTGATGATCCAATCAGATATGTCCTACTTTGTCCACTTTGTCCTTCTGTTCCTGTGGATCATGATCATGTCAGCCTTCTACAGACACCATCCAGATGTGAGCACAGCAATTCACACACCTGTTCATGTCAACACTGATTAATGGGAAAGCCTACAGGAAACACCCTGGATTTACAAAATAAAAGCCCAGTGACTCATTAACAATGAATCATTCCTTCATTCAAAAACACTGCTGACCTCAGCCAAGTGTGTAAGAATTAAACCATCTGACATTTTGGATCCAAAACCTTTTCCCAGTTAAACGAGACAGGCCACAGTTACTGTTTCATGTCTGAATGTTCAGGAAATAAACAGTAGCAGCACATGAACATGTGAAGAAAGACTCATTGTTCATGTGTGATTGCTGGAGAGGTTCGGTTGATGTCTTTTCACCACACAAAGAAACACAATGGCTCATTTGCATCAAACAGTGTCAGTTGCTGTAAAACACTGTTCTGAAGCTGCTTTTCATTTTTATATCAATGTGTTTATTATGTACCAAACATTAGAAACAGTGACTTCATGTCATAGCATGAAATAAATTGACAGTTTTCTCAAACGCCGATCCAGTTTGATGACTCAGCAAAACCAATGCCTTGAAGAACATTGAAAACGTCTGTTGATATAAAATGTACAAGAGCAGAAGCACATGAACCGACCTCAGAGTCTCCAGTTGACAGTGTGGACTCTCCAGTCCAGCACACAGTTGCTTCACTCCTGAGTCCTTTGGGTGGTTTCCACTCAGGTCCAGTTGTCTCAGATGGGAGGGGCTGGACTTCAGAGCTGAGGCCACGACTTCACAGTGAGTCTTTGATAGTCCAATGCCAGAAAGTCTGTGGTAACAGAAAATATTAAACTTAAAATCTGATCAAAACTGAGACTTGGAATAAAACCAGCCTTGATTAATTTCAATCCCAGAGCAGATTGACATGAGCAGCTGTAGCTTAGGTGGTCAGTAGGTCAGTCATTAATCACAAGAACTGTGGTTGAGCTCCTCCTGTCCACATGTCAAAGTGTCCTTAAGCAACATGATGAAATACAAAGACTTTGGCCAGAAGTGTCCAGATGAAACGTCAGACTCTGATTTACAGGGAACTGTGATTGGTCAACTGGATTTTAACCTTCATTCAGTTGCAACATGGCATTAGGCTGGAACTGCACTTGTATGCATTTAAGTCAGTGATGTGTCTGTGTATATGCTGGACATCTCTAATGTGTCTCATTATGTGGCTGCGTCCCCTTTTCATCTTCTATTAAATGGACTGAATGACTGGAATGACTCCTATTGCATTAACACTACAATCAGATTAGAAGGTTGTATTATTCTAACATCACATCTGACAGACAATACTATGTATTAAAAGCCAAAGTGACTAAATATGTTTTAACCAGTGATTTAAAAGTTGTCAGGTCTGTAGATGATCTAACATTAAAAGGTAAACCATTCCACAATTTAGGAGCTGCAACAATAAAAGCACGGTCACCCCAGCGTTTGTATTTGGCCCTGGGAACCTCTAAAAGAACCTTTAAAAAGTTCTGCACCAGCCATGCTTTCAAGTTTGTCAAACAGTCAAACAGTGGCTGTAGAGACATCCCTCCGGTTGCTTTTAATGGTAAATATATCTGGATGTCATCTGCATACCAATGGAAAGAGAAGCCATATTTCCTTAGAACTGATCCCAGTGGAAGCATGTACAAGGAAAATAGAGTTGGGCCAAGTACAGACCCTTGAAGGACACCACAGGAGAGGATAGTTGAAGAGGACATATGTGGACAGATGTTCACTGCTGGAGCTACAAAAGTCAAAGCCACACCTTTAACTGACTGAGGATGAGGAGGGGGCGTTTGGTTCCCTCTAGCAGAGCGAGGACAGGCCCCCACATCCTCTCTCAGCTCCAGATCTGAGTATAGATGTTGGAGAAAATACGACAACAGACAGAACAGATCTTACTGTGAAACAGGAAGTGCTGAGGACAAACATAGGATAACAGTAATAAATGCACAAAAACTGTTCTCAGCTTCAGCTGCTGTTAGTTCTACCAGGTCCCAGACATTAGAGGGAATGGGAGTCTGTAGAGAAAAGACTAATAAACGGCTAGATGACAGAAACCCAGAGCAGACACTGTGTCCGCTGTAAAGAAACTGCCATCAGTTGAGAAAACATGTTGGCTGTCCACAGGGTTTCAGCAGAAACTGTTAAGAGCAGAAGTTTTTCTGCTGGGTTTGGATGAAACCTCCATCGACCAAAGAAAGACAGAAGATCCTTGTGTTCACTGACTTGACAGCTGGAAACACAAACATCATGTTGGTCTTATTATCAAAGAGCTGAAGCCAACAAAGATATTTGGAGCCTAACACGTGGAGAATTGGTTCAATCAGCAGATTCAATATGAGTTTAATAATACCTGGCAAGTGTTTGTGTTTTATATTGTGTGTGTGTAAAGTGTGTGTCTTCACTGTGATGCTTGAGCTTTGTGTTGCTTTATAATGTTGATGGTCACATCTGGACTCACCGAGCCTTTCTGCAGTTCCTCACAGCTGTGACCAGTCTCTGTCGTCCCTCCTCTGATGTCCTGTACTTATTCAAGTCCAACTCATCCAGAACCTCCTCTGACATCTGCAGCATATAGGCCAGAGCTGAGCAGTGGAACACAGAGAGTTCATTCTTTGACCTGGTCTCTGACTTCAGGAAATCTTGGATCTCCTGATGGACTGAGTGGTCTTTCAGCTCCATCAAACAATGGAAAATGTTGATGCTTCTGTCAGGAGAAGTTTTATCGCTGTTCATCCTCTTCAGGTTGTTGATGGCTCTCTGGATGGTTTCTGGACTGTTCTCTGTCTGACCCAGCAGGCCTCCTAAGAGTTTCTGGTTGGCCTCCAGACAGAGGCCATGAAGGAAGCGGACAAACAGGTCCAGGTGGCCATTTTTACTTCTCAGAGATTTCTTCATAGCTCTCTCCAAGACGACATCCAGAGATGAGAAATCCAGGGATTTCTTCATAGCTCTGGAAGTCGGAAAGTCATGTAGAGTGAACAGACCATCATCTATATGAACTTCCAGAAACTTCCTCAGTACCTCTGTGTTCCTGATGGTGTAACAGTGGACCATGTAGACCGCAGCCAGAAACTCCTGAATGCTCAGATGAACAAAGCAGTAGACTGATTTCTGGAAGATCACCCGCTCTCTTTTGAAGATCTCTGTACAAAGTCCTGAGTACACCGAGGCCTCTGAGACATCCAGACCACACCGCTCCAGGTCTTCTTGGTAGAACATGATGTCTCCTGTCTCCAGATGTTCAAACGCCAGTCTCCCCAGCTTCAGAAGAACGTCCATGTCAGCCCCCATAAGCTCCTGTGGACTTGTCCCGTGTCCCTCACCATACTTGTGTTTCTTCCTCTTGGTCTGAACCAGCAGGAAGTGTGAGTACAGGTCAGTCAGGGTTTTGGGCAGCTCTCCTCTCTGCTCTGTAGTCAACATGTGTTCCAGAACTGTAGCAGTGATCCAGCAGAAGACGGGGACTTGACACATGATGTGGAGGCTCCTGGAGGCCTTGATGTGGGAGATGATCCTGCTGGACAGCTCTTCATTACCGGTCCTCCTCCTGAAGTATTCATCTTTCTGGGCATCAGTGAAGCCTTGTAATTCTGTCACCCTGTCGACACATGTCGGAGGGATCTGATTGGCTGCTGCGGGTTGGGAAGTGATCCAGATGAGAGCCAAGGGAAGCAGGTTCCCCTGGATGAGGTTTGTCACTCCCTCTTCCATCAGTTCCTTCAGTCACATGTTCACATCTGCTCCTCAGACTGATTTTATGTTCATCCAGCACCTCCTGCAGACCACCACCGGCTGAAAGACAAGAGACAGTTCAACATGACTTTGTCTTACACAGAATCTCTACTGTGAAGTTCTCAGTCAAAACTTAGGACGAGAAAACCAGTCTCACTTGTTCTGGATCCGTCTCCACACTGGGGACAGGAGGAGCATCCTGATGAGCCAGACTGGTCCCAGTATGAGGTCAAACACTGTCTGCAGAACCAGTGTCCACAGCTGGTAGAGACTGGGTCCTTCAGGACGTCCTGACACCGAGCATGTTTGATCAGGTTCAGCTCCCTGAACGAGAGCAGAACCAGCAGACTGACATCTTGGTTTTCCAAGCCCTCTGCCCAGTCCAGAGTGAACTTCTGCACCGAGAAGGTTTTTCCAACACCGGCGACGCCGCTCGTCAGAACCGTTCTGATGCATCTCTGTCGCTCGGGGAAGGCTTTAAAAATCTGGTGGCACTTGATTGGAGTGTCCTGGAGGGTCTTCTTCTTGGAAGTGGTCTCAAGCTGCCTCACCTCATGTTGGGTATTGACCTCTTCACTGTGTCCCTCTGTGATGTAGAGCTCAGTGTAGATCCTGTTGAGGAGGGTTTCACTTCCTGTTCCATCAGTTCCTTCAGTCACGCGTTCACATCTGCTCCTCAGACTGATCTTATGTTCATCCAGCACCTCCTGCAGACCACCACCGGCTGAAAGACAAGAGACAGTTAAACATGACTTTGTCTTACACAGACTCTCTACTGTGAAGTTCCCAGTCAAAACTTATGACAAGAAAAACAGTCTCACTTATTCTGGACCTTTTTACACACTGGGGACAGGAGGACTGTCCTGATGAGCCAGACTGGTCCCAGTATGAGGTCAAGCACTGTCTGCAAAACCAGTGTCCACAGCTGGTAGAGACTGGGTCCTTCGGGATGTCCTGACACCAAGCACAGCGGGACAGCTTCCGTTTCTCAGAGCCATGACTCCTCTTCCTCCTTCTGCGGATGTCAACACATTGTTTATACCAAGACATCAGCAGTCGACCACCCTCAACTCACTAGCTGCATCCAGCTCTTTCCTTACATTTACAGCACTGGTCAAAAGTTCAGACACCGTCTCATCCATTGGCTTTTCTTTGTTTCTGTTACTGTTCACATTGTAGATTTAAACTCAAGATGTCAAAACTGTGACACAACACATATGGCATCATATAAACAACAAAGTGTAAAAACACAAAGTGGGTTTGGTGTTTCCGGTTCCTCGAAGGAGCCACCGGTTGCCGTGACGACAGCTTTGCTCACCGTCGGTAACATCACAACCAGCTTCATGAGGAAGTCGCCTGGACAGTTTTCACTTACCAGGTGTGTCTTGTCACAAGGTAACTTTATGTGTCTGAGACCATCAGTTGTGTTGTATGGAGTTAGTGCTGCTACTCAACTACTGTAGGAATCCACATTATGGCAGCGTCTACTAAATGAAGTAACAAGAACTGATGATTCCTTCATTATTACTTCATCAGTCAAAACAAGAAACTGTGACAGTTTGTCAAGTGCAGCCAGAGAAACCATCAAAGCCTCTGATGAAACCAGCTCTCACGAGGACCTCCCCAGGACAGGAAGACCCAGAGAGTCCTCTACAGTTCATGAACTTCTCATTCTTCACGAGCAGTCGACCCCGAGGTGATTTGAGTTTGCTGTTTGTTTCTGACATCTGACCTGAACAAAGCCTCTGAGCAGCTCTTTAGTAAAGAAGGACCAACACAATGAGACTATGACTTCAGACAAACATCCACCCACCTACTGCTGTTAATGTGAATAACATGTCGACACCGAATCATCTTCACATCAGTTCACAGCAGAAACTCTTACTTTGTGTCTGAAGATCCAGGTCCACAACCGAACTTCAAAGAATATTCTTTGGACCAGTCACTCTTCTTAGAGGAAGAGATGAATCCCAAAGATTCTGGTCTGTCCTGGTGTTCCTCCATCGTGGACTGGAGTCAGTCTGAGAGGAAAACCAGTAACACTCACCGGGAGCTCTGAACACAAGAGTCACAACCAGCACGTCTGTTCAAGAGTCACACACCAGCCTGAGAGAACAGGAAGTGAAGCACACACACACATTAACACAGTGTAATGAAAGCAGGCAGCCTCCACCTGGTCATGTTTCTTTACACCTGAGCCTGGTTCTTGGCTCAGCTGCAGGTTTAATGTGTCTGGTTCAGCCCATCAGGACTTTATGTCCACACATGAACCAAACCGTTGAGTTCATTAAAGTGAGAGAACAGGAAGCAGCACTGGCTGTGTTATTTCCTGCTTTTCTCCCAGTGTCTCTGTGAGGACAGAACATCACTGGGACTCTTCTTCCTCTGCAGTCCACAGGGAGAAAACTGACTGTGACACTTTGACAGTAGAAGAAGAAGAATGTCGGATTAACACTCACCCTGCCTCGGCCTTCAGTTTCCTGCTCTCGGCTCAAAATGGAATCTGAGCAGTCACTGCGCAGTTTCTGCTGCTCCTCACTTCTCTGTTTACAGGAACCCACGAGTGAGTGAGTGAGTGTGTATGTGTGTGTGTGTGTGAGTGCAAGGTGTGCAGTGCCACCACACATCAGGCTGATCATGCCATGTCTCTCAGATCAGTAAATGAAGTTGACAAATTTTTCTCTTTATTCTTCTTAACGTGTCTATGACCAAACTCTCTCTCTCATCCCACATGTTCACTGATCTGACAGCTGCTGTCATCAGCCTGTGATTGGTTCACTGATCAGACAGTGGAGTGAATGGACAAACACACAGTGTGTCTGCAGCAGCAGCTGGTTTCAGGACAAACACTGGAATCAACCAGGTGTATTACATGTGTACGCTGTGAACGTACGTACAGTATGTGTGTGTGTTTGTGAGTCTGAGGAACAAAGGGGGAGAACAGAAATGAAGAATTTAATCCCAGAAGGCTCCTGTTGGTCATGATTAGAAAGACCTGGAGTCATCAGTATGTAAATGTTCTTGTACATGGATCAAACTTGAACTGAATCATTGCCTCAAATATCAAGAACAAACATGCACAAGATTAAAAAGATAAACACGAAAGGTCCAACATCCATGGCCTGTTGTATGGCTGAGTCTCAGCTCATTGTTGATGCAGCAGCGCCACCTGCTGTTCAACCCAAACAACTACCATCTGATGTCAGACCTCCCCTCCATCTGGTGTAAATCTGATGGTTCAGCACCAACAGTGACAGTGAACCAGACTTTAATACAAAGGGAAGCAAACAAACAAACAAAATCATGGTTTCAAGTCTTCAGCTGTGATAAAAGAGCAAAGTTTTCCTGAAGTGAGCGACAGAGATGGAGAGAACGTCAACAAATCTAAAGTTCCATTGGAAGTACATGACGTTCCCGCTCCCTACTGCAGCTCACACAAGTCAGCAGTGGCTCCTACACCGACCCAAAGTCCAGCGTGTAAGGGCTGAGTGGACATGGTCTGGACTCTGTGGAGGAGAGCGGTGGTTTCACAGACACTGTAGAAGGACAGACTCCTGCTCTGTGATCCAGGTACACTCCAGGTCTGGAGGACTGGGAGGGAACTTCTGATTCTGTTGTGTCTGAACTGGTTTTAGTCCCAATCTAATGTCCACAGATCATCACTTAATCCAAATGTGCCTCCACTTCCTGTTCCGCTGATATCCCTGTACGGGACTGAAACTGAACCCTCTCTTCTCCACCTGCCAGGGCCAACGCCCAGTCAGACTCCCTCTGCTCAGGACCTGACTAAATTCAGTGAATCTGTCTGGATGAGGGGGATGTGACTGTTCTTTAGAGACACGGGTCACTGTTCTGCCACCCTCAAACAAAACCAGCGTTGTGTTCACTGTGTTTGGATCCAGTGGGATGTGAATCCAGTAGGAACTTAGTTCTGGTCTCTAGCTCTGCTGGTGGCAGTAGAACACCCAGCCCAGGCCCTGTCGCTGAGACCTCAGCCCAGTCCTCACTGAGAGCGTGCTGTAGTTTCTTTCTGAGCTCAGACACAGCTGCTGTCACATCCTCCCAGTGGCTCAGAGGGTGGACACTGATGCTGGGAAGTCTGTAGGTCCACTGAGTGCTGACACTAAGGCTGGTTCAGTAGAAACTGGCTGGGATCCTCTGGGTGTGAGAGCTGCTTCAGACCAGCATCCTCTCCAGCTCAGTGATCTCCTGCTCCAGTTCCTGCTCAAGCTCCATGGCTCCACTCTCCACAGCAGTGTGAACAAACCAGTCCAGATCTGGGCCACCTGCGTATGTGCACACACTCACACGCTCCAGCCCGGCAGTGTGGAGCATCAGACGGAGAGAGCAGCAGCAGTAGTGTGGGGAGAAACCAGAGCCAGTGAAACACCAGACCTCTGCTGGTAAGGTAAAGCAGAAAAGTGTCTGCACTGTCAGAAAGCAGGCAGCAGTCCACCCTCTGTCAACAGGCTTGTTGAAACATCCCAGGGTTTCAAACCAAGACATGAATCACTGGAACCACTGCCTCAGTTTGCTGAGGAGGCAGAACTTTTCCAACATATTAATTGCAATTGATATAAAATAATCATGCGCAGAACTTAAATCATGAGAATACTTTTTTGGCACAGCTCCAGACAGCTACACACTTTCCAGCCAATCAGTCAATCTGGAGCCATTAACATCTCAGTTTTCTTCTTATTGCAGAGCCTTACAAAACATAACGATTCAGAAAAACTAGTTGGCAGGGTCAAGTTGTCTGTACTGCAGAGTGAATAGGTCCCAACCTCTGTCCCAATGTAACGGTGGCTGCTCCTCCTCCTCGTCATTGTTCTCATCTCTTCAAATGTGTTTCGTGGCTAGAATGTGATACAGACTAAATTAATTCGGACAAATCATCCCAATTTAAATAATCATTTAATATTAC